TATTTGATATCAATACGGAAAACTTTTACTAAATTTTTTTTAAAATTTGTAATGGCACTGAAAAAAAAAGTTAATTCATTGTTTTCTGTTTTAATTACGCTCGCCATTACTCTAATGATTTGTATCAGACATTATTATTTGTCTCAACTGAAAATTGGACAACAGAGAATTAGACAATAATACAATGGGAAGGGAATGTAATGATGATGATGATAATAAAAAAAACTGTGGAGACTATAAGAAATTTTATCATTTACAGTAATCTATGATCAAATTTTATCTATCAGCACTATGATTTTTTATTTTAACTGATGCCCTTTAAAACATTCAATGAGCCTTCTAGGAATAGATTCATAAATATTTATTTTTTGAAGAAAAGTCTAACAAATACGAAAATCTTTGACACAGCAGCTACTATTGACTATTAATCCACTTGTTAAGTGTCAAGAATTAATATGTGGTGAAAATTTTTAGTCAGAATTAAAAAGTTTTTAGCGTTTAAAATTGTAATTAATTTATCATCTACTTTTGTAACTCTATTTATTAATGGCGTGCATAATTTTTAACTAATGCAACTTTATTTTGATATCAAATCAAATTAAGACATATTTAAATTGATTTCATTACTTTAAAAAGACTGACCTATCTTAATATTAATACACATCTCTAATTAAAATTTATTTTTTGTAAGAAAATAATAATAAAAAAAACAGCCGTACTTGAGTTATGGTTATTTTTTTCTCTACTTTAGGCAGAAATGATCAATTATAAGTGCGTCTTAATCAATTAGAACGGCTTTTGTTTTTAATGCAAAAGTAAAAGTAAGGAAAACACAGCTGTATAATAAGAAACTAATAAAATTAGAGCATTTAATGAAAATTTTATAGACTTTTGTTGCATTATGCTCGTTTTTCCTGCCATGAATTGTGATATATACTTTTGATACGTTACAGATGTTTTGACAATTTGCTTGTATCAATCTCTTAAAAAAGTCCAAGAAGCTTATTCGAGTCAATTTGTTACTTTAAATACGTTTTAATTCTAATGCAGTAGCGTATTGTACGAAAAGCTACAAATTTTATAATATCTTATTGTAATAATTTTAGTTACTTAAAATTTAAAATTCATTTATATTAAAATTAACTAACAATTGTGTTCAAAGATATACCTCTGAAACAGAGGCTCCTTGATAGCGGTAAAAAATTACATTAAATTACTAAGTGGTTTAAAGGATTCGACCTATTCATCAATAGATTGTTTATAATTTGCTGCTCAGTTTAAAAATAATGTTGCGATACTACAATATTTTTCTCTAGTATCAACATGTCAAAATTTTTTGAACAAATTTAGTACCTTCAATTTCTTATGTTGTTTTTAGTACCAACGAAAGCATTTACACAAACATAGTGCATTGTAAACAAATAATAAAAGTACATTGAAGTTACGCTTTCGCTCTAATTAATAGTATACTTTCTAGAAACTTTTAAAAAAAATCTACTCATATCTTTAACATGATTTTTATAACCTGAAAAGGATTATTATTGTTATGAAGAGGAAAAATTTATTCATGAACAGGACAAAGAACGGCTGTCAAAACACAAAATTCATTATGCAAGGATCTTCAGGTCACGACATCATTTATGATGCTAACTAAGATTTGAATTCAATTTAAATAAAAGCCCAGTTGATTGGTTGCATTCTGAAAGCTGAAATAATAAAACGAATTCTCAAAGGAACTTTGTTGCCATAAACCTCATATCAAAATCCTACGAAATAATAATGTCAATAATAAATATATATAAATGATATTTTTCATAGTAAATGGTATTACAGAAATAGGATGAGGGCAGCTAAGAAAGTAAATTTTTCTTAAAAAGTTTTTTTTAATTCAAAAGGGATGTTTGAAATTGTTCAAAAACTTAAATTTTAGTTTGACGATATGTGGCAGGGTGGCGCAGTTGGTTTGTCGTCGGCCTTCTGAGCCCAAGCCTGCGGGTTCGATCCCCGGCCCAGACACCGGATTTTCGGGATGCAGAAAATCCTCAGCCGCCATGTCGTATGATTATGCGGCATGTAAGAGATTCCTGGAGTGCCTTATTGGCTCTTGGCATTTCCGGCAAAATTAAATTCCTAGTGCACTTTAGCATCCAAATAGAGTCTCGGTGCTGCCATCTAGTGTGGCAGAAACTAGACGTCCAAATTAGCATGACCAACGGTATCTCACCCATTGTGGTGGTCCTGAAAGAGTGGTTACCACCTCTGGAGAATGCACTAGGTCTGCGCATCGGCAAGACTGATTGTGCACCTCATTGGAAATTTTAATAAATAAAAAAAGTTTGACCATATTATGGGTTTGTTGCGCACATGACGTATGAAAATAATTACATTATTTTGGCAAAAAATATTTTATAAATATATAACTACGCGCGAAACATCTTGGCACCAAATGTGAATAAACCAAAAAAAATTCATTTATATTCACAAAAAAAGAGTAAAATTACAATTCTTATTTCCTTAGACCCATAATATAGTTGGAAATATTATTAACACAACATGGAAATATTATTTATAAATACCTTATAACATTCTGTCACGTGTTCACGCTTAAGTAATTCCCCCATGGTCAATTACAAGTCTTTGAAATTGTGATAAACAGTGAAGAAATGCGAAATTGAAGTATTGCTAAAATCTCAGTGAAACAGATTTTAGGTTAATTTCTAATTGCTGACTACAAAACACATGCAGGTTTGAACTTCTGGGGTCGCAAACTCTTCAGAGGATGTATAATCAAGTGTGCCACTCTCTGTTATATTCTAGTAATAAATTAAATAACAAAAAATAAAAAAATATAAAAAATAGTCGTTTAGCAGAATTAGTTTAGTAGTTAAGTTTTCTTAAACCTTCACTCTATGAATCTAACTAAACTAAAATAGGGGAATAAAAAAATAATGTGGCTAAAGTCTCAAAGGCTCTCATATTTATTATAATAGAAATATTTTGTCCATATATCATCTGCTCATTTTTTGAACACAAAGAATAATAATCTTCAACAATCAAAGTAATTTAAGAACCTCTTTTTGAAACAATCAGGCAGGATTACGATACTTGACTTAGTTAATTTTTTTCAGTTTTTCAGGATATGTCCTTTATTCATCTATTTTTTATTTATGTGTAATTTTTTTCTGTCTATGGAGATCGAAACTGAAATTCATCTGAAATTTTTAGAAAAAACCATCCATTTACAAATGACAATAGTTTTATTGTAAAACGAGAGAATTGTAATACTTAAAAAAATTATACTACAAAATTAGTAAAATAATATCTTTTTATTCTGCACAGGTGGGTAAGAACTAATTTAAAAACGTATGTATTCCCCAATTTTATACGATTTTTTTTTTCAAATTTTAAAATGCTTGTTTTTTATGCTTGTCGTTACTTGAAAAATTTATATAAAACATTTATTTTATTGAATATTTTTGATGCTTTAGAAAAATAAATCGAAAGACAATCGTTTTTTTTTCAAATATAAAGATGTCCATATTTTCATAAATATATAAGCTAAGCTTACGAAATATTACACAATTCTTACAAATAATAACGTGTCCTTTGAGTTATTAGGTTGATTGTTACATTCTCGGGTATAAGATGATACAATACTTGTTTTCGCTCGTAATTTATTGCCGGCCCCTTAGATCACCTCTGAGGTTTTTAAAATTTATTAAACTCTTGAGAGTCTTCTAAGTCAGTGGCGAAAGCAGAATTTTTTCAAGGGGGGGGGGTGATTCATAATTTTCTGAAATTACTAAAAAAAATTCGAGAATGTTACAAAGCACTATTATTTCCCCAATTTAGACGGCTAGACAATTATGACTTTCTATTTAGACAACATTGTTTAGATAAATTTTGATTTTATTTTTTAAGTTTAAGAACATAATTTTTTTTATAATAAGGGCAAAATATTTTATTTTTATTAAAAAGTAGGAATTAATCAAATCAGAAAAAACTACTCAAAATGCAACAGCTACCTAAATAATAACCGTTAGAGAAAACCAATGAATTTGACCAAAAAATAAGAAAAAATAACTTACCAACAAATTGGGAATTTAACCAGTATACAGACACGCTAAATATTTATTGACTTATACAATAATATCCAAACGAAGGTTTGAAAATGTTTGGTGCTTTATCTTTATTGCACATTCCAAGAGCATCTGCCGCAGTTTTAGGAACACTACCTCAGTCTTCACTAATCCTTTTTAATCTTTTATGCCAGAGTTTTAGTTCAGGCTTAAGGCTTTCTTTACAGGTAACCAAATCTTGAGCGTAAAATTCCACTAGTGCTTCAAAAGCCTTTATGTTTGAAGGTTGGTAAATGAAAGGATCGGCAGGAAGAAGGCACTGAAATCCTTTCAAAATATGACGATGCGATACAACTATTAAGTCTAATTGTGTTATAAAATTTTCTATAAATGGAAAAAGTACACTAACTTTGAAATATGTTTCGGGTGTCGATGAGGGAAAATTAGCGAGATTTTTCTGTCTTCCCGTTATTCTAGGGATTTGTATGGAAGATCCAATGTTTGCTAGCGTAAGAGAAGAGGAGCTGAATATTTCAGAGAATGTTTCAGTGGCATTTTCACGCAATAATTTTAGTTCTTTAATAACAACTTCTGCAAGACTCACTGCCTCTATCATATCTATGCTTGTTTCTTCTAGGTTTCTACAAAGATGGATTGTTATGGTGAAAACCTTATAAATGCACAAAAGAGATATTACGAACAGGCAATTAGATACTATGCACAGTAAAGAATTAGCTTGAGTTGCTGATTCCTTATCCTTCCATTCTGATATTTTTTGAAGAGTTTCAATGATAGGCTCAAAAAATTCCACCACAGCGGTTACTGAGTCGTATCTTTCCGTCCAAAGGGATGCACATAACTGTTTAATTTCTCCCTCTTAGAGCTGGTTTCCATCTCCTCTATTTCTGAAGATAGGACCTACTATCTTTTTGGCGTATTTAAAAATTCGTACAATGTTTTAATTGTCCCTGAGCAATTTCTAATGCCAGTTATTTCGCACGCCTTTGATACAGCCAAATTGAGGATAAGAGCAGAGCAATGTACATAGAGTGCTGATGGGACAATACTTCTTTCTTGGGCTTGAGCACCATTAATTTTTCCACTCATTGATGCAGCACCATCGTACCCCTGTCCACGTAACTTTTTTATATCAACTTTTATAGACTGTAATTGGTCTAATATTGTTGTTGCTATTGCTTTTCCGGTTAAGTCATGCACTGGAATGAATTGCAAAAACTGTTCGGTGATGTTAAATTTTTTTTTATCGACATATCGAACGTATAACGATAATTGCTCTATACCTGCAATATCTGTTGTTTCATCTGCAAGTATGGAAAAACAAGTTACATCATTAATCTTGCTGACTAGTTTTTGCAGTATTAAAATATTACAAACCTGAATAAATCGAGGGCTGGTACACTGAGCATTTCTTCTGCTTGACTTGGTTTCAATGTTTGGATTAATGTTTTTTCTATTTTCTAATTTTATTCTGCTTACTGCACTGTCAACTTGTTTATCCACAGGTTTCATCTTTCCAAGTAAAATATCGCTTTATGTCCCTGCAGTTTCGGTCGATTTTTTGTGATAAAGGCATTTCTCGTGTTCAGAAAATCGCTCTACTGCTTTTTTCCAGTTGTCAAATTTTACATTGCGTAGTTGGCCTAAATGTTGATTGCCAGAACCGGCACCACTTGGGGCGAAAAGTACACAAAATTTGCAAAAAGCACCACTCTTAACCTTTGAATAATCAAGACATTTCCGGCGATAAAGCCATTTGTACTGAAATTTCAATTTTCTTTTTCCTTTTTCAGGAAAAAAAAATGCTGGATTGGGTTCACAAGCATTTTTTAGTATATCCAATTTCTTATCCTCGCATGTACTATCTTCTGAAAGTCCAATGTCATATGGGTGGGAAGTAGCATTTTGAGGGCCACTTTCACATTCATCAGAATTTGTTATGCTAGAAACGATTTTTTCAAGGGAAGTATCACATTTCTGTTCAACAGAAAAACTTACATTGGTACTAGATGCTGTCACCTCACTAATTTCAGGTCGTGATTTTTTCTCAAAGTAATTAAAAATTGTTAAATTCTTGCGTTTAGACATCCTAAAGATCCAAGAACAGCAAAAATATATACATATATATTGGCACAGAAATATCCACTAAGCTACGATCTCAAAGTTTCGAGCTGGAATGAATAACTTCAACGAGCACAG